GAGCACGGATCTTACCGCAAGTGGCAAGCCGTCCAGCTTCATACGTCTCTATTCAGGGAGTCGGTGAAGGTAGTCACCGAGTAACATTACGTCGAACGCTCGGTGCGCGTCACCGTGAGTCCGACACTGGCATTGCGCAACCAGAGCAAATGCTGGGAGCGATGAGCGATTCAGGAGGTGAGGCCGTAAAATTAAAACATGATGAGAATAAGATGGCGTCACAAAGGGAGAGGAAGGAATTGCGAATGCATCTCGCGATCCCACGAGATTTCGTAGAAACCTCCGTCACTGTCAGCGAAGACGATGTTCTCAACCGCTTAAGAGGGTCTCACAGGTTCCAACCACCGTCCGACGTTATCGCCAGCTATGTTATTACTGTCCTTTGAGATGTCGACTCCAGCTTCTGACTTAGCAATGGTCTCGTAAAGTCGGCGTCATTCGTCCTACCATTGGTCGCCGTCACCATGAGCAGAGAAGGATAGGGCACAAGGAATGTGAGTGCCATCGTTCAAGCGTTGTACAGTGTACAATCTGCAGAGAAGGGCGCAACATCTCAGAGAAAGTAGGGTCGCGAGTGTTGCGAATGCTGGTGAAGCTTGTGATTACCAATAAGACCGCCGAAGATCAGTACTCGCATTGTGCATACTGATATGATTCAAACAATCATTTTACCACGCTCCTTGGGGTTGTTAGAATACCACTACCGGTGTCTAAAATCCTAGAAGATGGGGTCATTGAATAAAGCAGCGATTTGAAAAGTCACCGAGCGAGAATGCTGGCTAGTACTATATGGATGCCCGGTTTCAGAAGAATTGCAATACCTCCAGCATCTCATATGTTTCAACCTCAGTCTCTACTATGCTCATCCGCAGCTCATTGTCAAGAGTAAAGTGTTCAGCAAGGTCTGCTGCACTCGCGACAAACGATCATTCCTGTCTGAGGACCGCGACTCCGGGGAGACCACCAAGCTCGGGTGGACTGTGGACTAAGGTATCTTAAGCTTTCGCAGACCTCGCCAATGACAGGAGCACCATTTGCCCATTTTGAGAACCAATTTGTTTGTCTACTCGTTAAAACGCTTTGTGTAGAACGAGGCGGCGATCGAAGATCGAGTTTTGCAGGACAAGGGCGGATTATTAGGGGTGGTGGTAAATCATACCAACTTCAAAGTCGATGAAGTCCACAAAGTTGACTGGAAAATAATTTCACGATAAGAATATTTCATGAACATCCGTGTTTCTGAAACAATCGTCTTCTCTTTTAATCTCACATCCAGTGGCTTATTCCAGAATTCGCTTAACAAAGCCGGGGTCAAGAAGCGGAGGCTGTCAACCGGCCGCGATGTACGCTAAATTGGGATGGTACCGGCGCGCAAGCTCTTGGCGGCGCACTGAGAGTGGGAATGAAATCCAATCTTAGAGATTAGGCAACTCGTTTCCTTGTTTTAGTGCCGACGTCCAAGTCCAATCACAAGTTAGCCAAGTAGCGTGTTGACGATGTGTTGAGTGTAGGCCGTTGGTAGTACAATGCTCTAGGCTGTCGAGGCATTAACCATATTGGCTATTGTCCCAGTCCTACCACCGACATCCACGTTGACAACACAGTTCAAGCGGTCCGCTCCGTGTTCTTCGAAACTCTATGAACCTTCATAGCTTTGTATAACGCTCTTCTCGGCCTATTCTCAGCTCAGTCGAGTTGGGCTCGGTCTGGTTTAGTCTGGCCCAGGAGCCCTTCAGCTGACAACGGGGTACCTCCTTCTGCTTGTGTCGCCTAACGCTGGTTTTGGTCTCAGAAATGAGAGGCAATCTTCGCTTGGACGTTCTGCTCCTTGGAGAACAGGGGAGAATGAAAGTATGACAGACTGATGTTTGCGTGCGGGGGAACGAAAAGAAAATAAGCAAAATCAAAAGGAAATTACGATTAGGGGGGAGGGGGATTCTACGCCACGAATCCTATATCCTGGGGCTGCAAAACACTGCGGAAGATACCTGAATCAGTAAGAAACAGACCTGACTGGCAGTTGAAGGCGAAGCGTTTGGTCAGAAAAAACAACGGACTCGGTGCTAGCGCCAAAACCTTCACACGTGAGTATAGCCATTTTCTCGCTGCGTAACGAAAGAAATGCTCGGCTCAGAACGGCAAGAAAACGGAAGTGAAGTGAAATTGCATACAAATTGAAGTATGCAAAAACGAGAACCGTCTTAGAGTATGAGGGTTCGGACTTATAGAGAACAGCTATGTGATGTGTCGGAAGTGAGGAAAGCAAGAGGCGAATCCGCAAAGGTCTGGTTTCTCAAATCTTACCAGGCCGAGAACAGAAAGAAGGCAGGTTGGTAAGCTCCTCCAGATAGAATTTAATAGAACGAAGGGCTTAACGTCTAGTAATATGAAGAAGGAGTGTCATGAAACGAAGAAAGAGGTGCTGTTCTTGCTAGGGAGTGGCTCAAGACCTCAAGCGGACATTTATCTCCATCTCCCAGAAGTCTAGAAGCGGAAACGATAGCCAATAAGTGAAGGGACCCATATTGTAAGCCATGTATGGTAAAGAGTCCCTAAGAAACCTTGGCAGTGCTGAATGGATGAGCAGGGCACTCCTTCAGTGCTGCTGGAGAGAAGCCACACCTCCAACGCAGCTTTCAGGAGTGAAATGCGGGAATCTGGCTGGTCAATACAAGCCGATATTCACCAGACGATCATGACAGGCCAGTACCTCAATTAATCAAGTCCTCTGAGGTAGAAATTTTGTTCTCTAATCGCGTTCTGGAAGAACGCAAATCGATTGCAGAAAAGCTTTCAGGATCATGCTCTAGGTTTTGTCAAAGTATTGAAGGGAATGACTGGTTCTGAGAGAATTGGGCTCTTCAGCGTGAATACTCAGGCGGGCAAGGCCCGCTAGGAAAGAGCCTGCTCTGTTAGTCACCTTGATCAACCCATACTTCAATAACCTGATGGAGGAGTTGAGGAATGTGGGCTAGCCGGCCTCGAGTTCAAGTTCCAAATTCCAATATCTCCCCAATTCCTTGGGAGTCGATCTGTGCAAGAAAGCGGTCTTGCCTAGGAGACATCACTTCCTTTGGAAACCCTTTTCTAAAAAGTTCGGTTCAGCTTTCATAATGGCTTTCTGCCCCCGGACAACACCTACATACAATTGCTGGGTTAGGAATTCAAGACATATTTGCAAAGAATGAGACCACAACCGTAGAGCAACAGCAGGAGGGAGACAAAGGAGCCACGATTCGAGCCCGAGGCTGGACCATTAGGTGAGCAAGTGGAAATTCGAAAACCTGGTTTCAGATCAAGGCCTCGGCTTCTAACCTTTCCTGATCCACCCGTTGCCAGTCTAGTTGGTCCGACCTTTTGCACATGCAAAGACTGGGCAAAGGCAGGGGGTTGAGATAACTACCATATCAAGGACAGAGCCCACTCAGATATAGAAGCACACAAATTGGCAGCTTCCCTGTAATAAGAAAAGAAATTCTAATCAAGCATGCAGTTGACGAAATCTAGACGTCAGTCATTGCATGATCTTCGTGCCAATCCCATCAACATTCCTTCTGAGAAAGGAAGAAAGATTGATGCTCGAGGACTATGAGGAGTCGGGAAATTGTCAGATCGTCGTACAAGTTTCGAATCCTTGCACAATCAGGGGGAAAAGTGAGGTTGCTGGACCGCAAAACTGCCAGCCACTTGTTTTGTTGTCAACTGAGCAGCCCCAAAAACCTCATCACCTCTAATATCCATGCCAAGGGCTAAAGCGAACCCGACGATAGGTGCTTCGTTTACCTCTTTAATGCAAAGATAGTACAACTAAAAGTATGTGGGATAATATCTTGCTCAGGAGTTATGAAGATGACTCCAGCACCACTGACACTCTCTCCGCTGCCTCGTTGAGATGTCTAGCCCATAGAGCTTTGATCTGCATGATTTGTGCCGGAATGTTGTGTTCCAGGGAGGCACTGTCGTCGGCGGGGAAGGAGGCCAAGAAATTAAGGGCAGCATATAATTCGTAGCTTAATGCTAGTAAAACGTCTCAAGACAGACGTGATCATGAGACAGACGTGGGCATGAAACGGATATCAAACTAAAATTAGACGTCTTAGGAAAGACATATACGTAAGACAGGCAGAGTCTTAAGACAACTCTAGTCTTAAGACGATATTTTAGGAAAAAGGAGAAACGTATACGTAAGATACACGTAGTCTGAAGACGAACATAGTCTCAAGACGGACGTAGTCTTAAGACGGACGGATTATAAGATAGATGAGTTCTCAAGACGGAAAAGTTTTCGTGATAGATAGATTCTTGAGACTAAGGACTTCCAGAGACGGATGACCCCTTAAGACGGGCGGATTATTCAGATAGATAGATTCTTAAGTAGGACGAAGCCCTGATACGTACGAAGTCTAGGACCTAGGACGGACGAAGCCTCAGACGAATAAACTCTTAAGACGGACGAGGTCTTAAGACAGACGAAGTCCTAAGACAGAGCCCTAATACAGACGCAGTCCTAAGATAGACGAAGCCCTAAGACAGACAAGTCCTGAGACGAAGCCCTAAGACAGACGCAGTCCTAAGACAGACGAAGTCCTAAGACAGACGGAGTCCTGAGACAGATAAAGACTTGAGACAGATAAGGATCTGAGACGGGCGGAGTCCCAAAACAGATCCCAAGACAGACGTAGTCCTAAGACAGGCGGAGTCCTAAGACAGACGGAGTCTCAAGACGGACTTGATTCTACATTCTCTCAGTAAACTCCTTAAGCGAGGAGAATGGGTGATGAAGTTTAGCCGTTTGCATGACCTCAACGTGTCTAGTCCGGAACAATATCTCAGGATATATTGTCTCAGAGAGTTGCTTCGGCTGAACGGCTGTGTTGTGCGCCTTATGTTGAAAGATGGTCGAGAACTGCTACTTCACCAGAGAGGGGTCATAATGGACATGGAAAGCGTCTCGAACAAGTCAACCGTCAACTGTTTCAACAGCATGGCGAGCAAGACGAATGTCGAGGAAGTATGGCACGACTACTGGCTGTGCAAGAAGTTGGGAGGCCCCTTGGCTGGTCTCTTCGAGTGGAGACGAACGACATCACGAGCTGAAGCCAGACGATGGGCCTCTGCATGATGTAGAAGACGAGCACAGAGTCTCCGACGAGCACGAGTTCCAATACACTCGCATCATCATGAATGTCTTGAGGGTACGAGAGGTCGATCTAGTACTCGACTGTGCATCATGATGCCAGCGTGATGAAGAAGGATCCTCGGCAACTCCAAGAGCATATTGACGATGTGGTGGACTAAGGTTCTCGTGTAGTTAAACAACGCTGCGTCCGTTGGAAAGACCGTGAGATCCTTGACTGCATCGGGGCCATCCGAGATCTTAGACGCGTACGGAATGATCGATATTCTCGTCAACGATAAGCGTCAGTCGATGAACCCCGACCCGCCAGACAACAAAAGGACGTACCTGTTCATCTGGTAGTCGGCGTCTGACGAGTACTGCGTGAATCACAAAGCCATTTCGTGGGTCGGGTCGACCGGCATCAGTGTCGTCCACGCGGGTTCCATCATGGATAGCAGCAAGGTCGTCGTTGATTCCACGGCGTTTCATTGGGTCCTGGGCGCGAGAAAGTGCATAAGCTACTACGTGGAAATGGGCCTCACCAGGCTGATAGGGGAGAAGATTTTTCTCCACGACACCGAGCACCCAGACTCCGTTGACAAGCTAGAAGCGGACATGTTCATGACGACATTCTCGTAGATGCATGAGGAGTTTCGCATGTTCATAAACTTCTTCTTGCGTGTGGTTGAGACAGGCCCGAAGAGGGTTGCATGTCTCGGAGGCCTACACCGGGATACTGATCGAGGGTCCAATGTCGGCGGACAAGTAGGCGTCGGTCGAGACCATGTGCGCGCTCAGTCTGTGCATTTTCTTGTTTTCGATCTTGTCAGTGTCCCTCATTCTCATGCACTCCGTGGCAATCACGGTGCTGGGAGCCTTGCTGCTGGATCTGATCTTGACATATCCGTCGAGGGCTAGGTCCTCCGAAATATCGCATCACGAGCCATACGTCAACGGTGCGTTCACCAGCTCGATGCCCTTACCGGCGACGGCGTTCTTCATGCTAAGGAACAGAACTCTGGCGAAGGGTGGGAGGTATTGGGAGTTCGGGTAGTCGACCGCCTTCGGATGCTTCTTGAGTTTCGAGGCCAGGTTTTCGGCGGCACTCAGTGCGTCTCTTCCGTACTGCATCGCGCACAAGTGCTCTCACGCCCCTGAGACCGAGCTTGAGACGTCATTCTTCTCGGTTCTGTGGGCTGAACTGGGTATGAACCTCGTCGTCCCATTCTTCACATCAGTGAATTCCCTGTTGTTCATCGCATATGGCACGGTTGACAGTGATGTGCACATCTTCATGATTTTGACCTCATTCACCATGATGGTCGGGCTGTCAATTCTAATTTGGCAGAATTTCAGTGAGGAAATCATCGGGGACTTCATTGCAACATCTCAGGCCATATTCCTGTTGACGTACCCAGACAAGGCCATTAGCAGGTACCGACTTGCAGATCGAGCCGCTGACGACGTTGCTGTTCGCGTTAGTATTCACGGAGTTCTGCAAGAAGGAGATTCAAGCATCAATTGACTCGCCCCCAATGCTACTGGTAGACTAAGGGTTGGAATTCAAGGGTATCTCGCGCCCATGCAAGGTTCGTTCAAGCAAATGTCGGGCTACACGTGACTGCACCGCCGCAACAACCACTTCTGGCCCGGAGCTCTATTTCTCCGACACTTTCCGGAGGAAGGCGCGTCGAACCACCTCCTTCCTGTCTGGAGCGCCTACCTTCTTAAGAGCCAACTTCCCTCCACTGCCCTTCTGCCTTCCTGCTTGTGTTGACTGATTTGGAAAGTCAAAACGACGACATGAAGAGTGATTTGTCTACTTAGGGAAGAAACGTCTCTGGCGGGATGGCCTTCGTATAGGGGCGGATCACCCGTCAGCGTCTTTGAGGCGGGTGCTGTTCTGGTGGGCGAGACTGGAAGTTCGCCGGGTCTGCGGCTGCTGCCAAGGATGTTTGGGTGAGATAGTACAGGAGGTACGAAGGGGTAACTAAGGTATGGCCTCTGTGAGCTTCTCCCCTGCTTCGTATGCCTATTGATAGCAGAATACTCGTCGGCACATTAGAGACGGCCAGGGAAGCTGTTGTTGTAGGGTGAATGAGTTAGGTTAGGAAGGTCATCGGCTTTGCGGTCGCCACCAATGATAGAAACGAGTACGAGCGGTACGAGGAGGAAACGAAGATACAGGGCAACAAGTACCGGTGAAAGATCGCGACAGAGGGTGAGAGGAGCAGAAAACCTTAGATTAAACAGCCAGGAAAGGATTCGTTCTATCCATTGTTGGGAATCGAACGGCCGAATGTACCCCGGGGAAAAAGGAAACGTTGGAAGAAGGTACTATTACCGGCATAAAAGGGACGTCGGAAGGTAGTCGTGCCGTACTTACGCCAAGCGGAGGAATTGCAGGCTCTGCCCACTAACTTCCTCCGTCCACATCTCCAATACGCAGAGGAGTCAAGTTACAATCATTGGATCTTGTACCGGCTGGGACGCACGGAAGTTAAGACCAACATGGGCACTCAGCAGTGGCTGAAGTAAGCGCCCTCTTCCACCACAGGTCAGCTGGGGCATGACCGACAAAAGAAGCGGTTCCGAGCCATCTCACGAGCCCTTTCTCCTGTTTACCTTATTTAGGCCGTCATGATTGGCAATACTCGTTCCATTCTGCGCTACCTCAATCTCTCCTCCGTCGACGCTGGCCAACAGGTTGTCTAGTCTGAAGCCATCGAGACAGCCTTCCACCACACAGACAGACCTCCTCCCGCCTGAGTTCCACCATGTAAAAGTTACTCCTCCAAACCCCCAGCCGCCATACCAATCGCCAGGCCGATCGCTAGAATGTTGGCCGCTAAGAAGATGGTCTCCTTCCGCCGGAAGCTGACCTCGATACCGTAATGTCACTCTAACAAGCTCCTTTCTGCCACAAATTACCTGTGGGAGGAGCTCCTTTTGACAAGTCCTCAATTGGCTAGACCGCTAGTTTCCACGGAAGATGTCACTTCGACAAGACCCTCTCTAGCGTCAATTGCGCTGCGCTGGATTTCTTCCGACCGCTCGCTGTGGAGAATTTCCACTTTCAGCACTTCCTTCTTCCGTAAGTCGACGTCGCCCCAGAATTCTCACTTCGATAAGCTATTACCCTGTCAGTATGCTCTGCAGAACGAGCTGCTTTCAATCAGCTCTTCGGGTCTCCAGCACGCCAGACGACATCCTTCCGCCAGAAAAAGATTTGGCCGCGGAAAAGTCACCCCAGTAAGCTTTCATCTGCCAGACTTACCCGTCGAAAGAGCTTCACCGAAAACCTTTCAATCGCCAGATCGCCGGCCGTCGCGAAAAGGCTTCCTTTCGCCAGACCTCCGTGGAAGAATCCAACTTTCACCATTCCCCACCGAGAAAAGTTGACTCGCTGCGGAAGGGTCCCTTCAACCACCCTCGTTCTTCCAGAATCCCCTGACTAAAGTGGTCCGTCCAAAGACTTTCCGGCACCAGGTTGCTGGTTCAAACCGCTGGCTGCGGACACAGGGCGTTCCGACACGCCTAGTTTCAAGTCCTTCAACCAGATACTCGCTGCGCGCCCTCCAACACCAGAACCGAGATCCAACAGCTGCCCGAGACTCCAGCCCTCATGTTTTCCCTTCTAAGGCATCCCTTGGATCTTGACAAAGCCTCTACCTACCGTCCATGTTCTTTGTTTGCTACTAACACAGCCGCAAGCCTAGATTTGTTGTTATTCCCGCGTTTCTGGCTCTTCAACAACCGGAAGAGGGCTTGATGAACAGGAAAAAGTGCTAGATGTTTCTCTCAGTCGACGGAAAGTTGCCGAACACTTCCAGACGCTTCCACCTACCGTAGCCACTTCGACGGCAAAGGCCAGCACTCTCAGCACTTCCTTCAGTCACTTCCAGCTTAACTCATTTGACGTGAGTGTCCCCTTGTGCCAGCCCGATTGTAAGTCTCCTTTCTTAGCCATCCTGACCGCAAGTAGTTGGACAAACAACAGAGTGCCAGAAGTTTCAATACTTGAATTGACAACAGCACGACTCGGCACTTCTTCAAGCAATTCCTCTTCTGCCAACCCAAGGGCGACCACATCCTCCAGCCAATTCGACGGTAAATCACCTCGCTCTGCCACTTCCGGGCAAGGATCGAGTCACCCACGCGTAATGACTAGGAGAAAAGCCTTCCGCCGAATCCTGGCAAATCAGGTGCTTGTGACACGATTCTGAATGTTGCTTGAGGTTGCCGGTGAAGATTTTGATGTTCAGAAAGGCCATTAAGTGACAGGCATGAAGTATTGTCGGCTTACCTCATCCACAGTCAAGAATTGGGCATTCCGATCCACGGTGTTATGGCCGTATCTGTTTGGCATCGTTTGTTGTCCCGAATTCCAGAATGCGTGTGATCCGCTCCGAGGATCGGCCTTGTTCATCCTACTCCCGCGCATTTCTTCTCATCCCGAGACCTGGTCACTCTATGCTACGCGTGGACCAAGCAAAAATGGCGCCTAACATTTCAGATCCCTTGAAAATCCCTGATCTATATCTACCATGCAGGAGGCTTCTCAGTGAGCAAATCCCATGAGCAGATAGAAGGCGTTGATAGAATCGTGAAAATAAGACATGCGATGGTCTCTGGCATGTCTGAATATGCGCCTAGAATTGTGTTAATCGCTTTGTCTTCAGAGAGGCATACGCGATCAAGATGACAAAGATACAAAGATACAACGATATGTACTTTGTGACGATTGACGCGTGAGGCCGGGGATGCACTGGGCTTGAGTGGTTAGATGCGCGAGCGCAGTGACACTAAGTTAACCGGTGGATCATGAGATCCAGCGATGGGAGGCAATCCGATAGCATATACAGTGTTATTCATATCCCGACCATGTCAGGTAACTTGATTCATTTCTATGACTAAGAGACTGATAATCGAGAATCTGCGAGGCGAAAACAGAGGTTTGGTGCAGCTCGAGTGCGGGAATGCAATTTAAGATTCATGGCAATTTGAGAACCCTAAGTTACTTTATTCCCTGCTTCTCAGACGATAGGTGATGGAAGGAATGGATGCGTGGAGACGTTACCATCTTACCATCACCAGACCCGGACGAACCAGCGTGAATCCGGGGGGCCCGCGACCCGCATTCTCGACCGTGAGAGATGCTCCACATTTCTAGTTCTCACTTCGCCGGACATGACACGGAGTATGAATCGGCGTGATTGAAATCTACCATGATGGAGATAGGCCGTGTGAAAGATTCTGGTGCCGCACCGGGGCAACCAACGAGAATCTTCGCGCCAACGCTGACATGGTCACGGCTCCTGCGATGTAATGATGAGAATCCACCTTGAGCCGTCTATCTCTAAAGAGTCGTGACCTCAGCAATGATCCACTATCAATTCGACGCATACGCAGCTAATACTGCAACGCATATGTCTTGCTTCCACCATGGACGCCGGTCTCCAGCTGTGGCTCAGTGCCATGGTCTGGAGGGGAATATGATCAACTTTGCACTCTCAGACTGTCACATACGACCATACCCATTGGAAAACTCGGGATCCCGTCCGCTCTCCCATAGATAAGCCAATGAGGGCCGGATTAGTAGTTGGGTCGGTGACGACCAGCGAATACCTGGTGTTGTATGTTTTGCTTTTGGTCCCTTGGGTCAATTTCGTGATCCTGCTTTTTGTGGAGAGTTTGGTGATTGTGTAGTCAGGCTGATGTGACGAGCGGTGAACCTGCGGACCATTGAAGCAATCACGACACTGCTTGAGTCAGAGATTAAGGTATTTGGATTCTAAGCAGACTGTGGCAGGTGGCCGGTTTCGAGACAAAGCACTAGACAAATACTGATGCTCCTCCCAGTCTTTGCCTTCGGACAGTGTGCTCGGTTATGTCATGCATGTGGTGGTGGATGTGATTGTTTTTTGCTGGCTGGCGCAAAGGATCGACCTTAACGGAATCAGGTGTTCAAGAAAACACCTTTCAGGTGCTTTGTCATGTCCGTTGCCCTGGGTCTTGCCTGCCCAAGGTGAATGTTAGATTCTGGGCAGTCGGCAGGAAAGGTGGATCTGGAAGGCGACCGGGGCCATAAGAATGACCCTTCCACTTACATATCACCACTTCTGAGGAATCGTAGGCTCTGTCGAACAACTTCCTCCTCCTTCCACCTCCGTATGCAGCAACAGACCACCGTTCATTGGTCTTCGTGCCAACCGAACGATTACCCTGCTGACGTGTCGTGCCATGGCAGTCAAATATCAACACTACCACTAATGACTTTTCTCTTTCCTCTTCAATGTCAGGATGTGCTTCGGCGAAGAACAGACAGCAAATTTACGGCAGAGAGGGAAAGCAAATGGACAAACCAAACAGATAAGAATTTCCCCTCGATTATCTTCTGGCCCAAATACTCATCCCTCCTCAGCGCAGCAAGCGACTTCCCATCTCCGAGTTGCCTCTTCAGTCTGCACTATCACAATTCGTCGACCGTCACAACCATAATGATCATCATTATTCCCATGAGCCAAGAGTCGGATCCGAGCATCGCCCGACCACGCATCCCCAACGAATCCAGTGCCGTTGCTTTTCTTCAGGCGTTGAGAGAGGGTCGCGAGTGTTGGGCAGTTGTTGGCCGCACCCTCACCCGCCCGGCACGAGACTCCGCCGTTGTCCGACTTGACAATGGCTTCTCCAACCACGGCTTGGATGCTCAGGTTTCCCGACGTGGGTTCCAGTCATCCTCAATCAGTCCAACCCACGAGAATGCAGGGTCGTCTCCCTCCTTCATTGTTTCGGCTGATGCCGATATCATTCAAAAATCCGGGGAGCTTGAAAAGAATGACCGCTGCTTCCAGGCTCCAAGCATCGAAGTTCAGGATAATGAGACTAGCCAAAAGGTAAGTCAAGGTCTTTCTGGCGTTGTTACCGGCCTTCCCTATGTTGACCTTTGCAGTAGATTGCTGAAACAGCCATAGGTGACCAGAGACGAACCCGACATCCTCACAAGCTCGGTCGAGACTACCAGTAACTGAGATGAATACCGACCGATTTCAGGTCGTGAACTGTGGCATGCCATACAATAAGGGACATTGGTTAAGGAAAAGGCAGGTCGAGGCTCATAAGAGCTCTGTGGAGGCTACCGAGATGTTGAGCAATTGTATTCATGTTAATGGTGATGTCGCGGCGGACGATAAGGGAGATAAGGGTCACTTTTAAGGGAAAGCAATTGCCAGCATGAAGTTCTGAAGGCATATGTTTGCATTCTAACGCAGATCGTGACACACACGCAAAGGAATTGGGATCGGGAAACGAATGAACGATGCAGCTTGCTCGTCAACGTAGTGGGAGTAGATGGTACTTTGCTACCCACAACGTATTTTTCCCTGAAGAGCTTGTGGTTAGCTCTTGATTCTCACATTTCGGGAATGTGCCCATCTCCGATCCGGTTTCGTTGGAGTCGTCGACAAAGGTGGCTTCCTGCCACAATTTAGATCTCCAACTGCGCGCGTTGACGTCTGCAGATGCCATTCCTTGTATGCATGCTATGCTGATTGAAAGCTCTAACATGCCATAGAATTATGGAGCAGACTGCATCTCAAATCGTGGTGCTGCGAGATCACAGTTGGAATCTTGACGCGATCATACGAATGCACGAAACCTCCACCACCTCCTTCTCCTCCTGGTCCCAGAACAATTGTGGATAGTCCCTTCTGGAGTTACGTCTTGATTGGCCTTCTTTATTCTTCGAATCATACCTGTGTAGGAATTACAGCCGAGAAGCGGCTTATCACTGCTTCTTCCAGCCATACTACGGTCTTCTTGTTGGCTTTAAGGATTATTGGTATACACATAAGCAGGTCAGACCTTTCGGTTATAACGAGGTCAATAGGTTAATATAGGTCTATTATATATATATAAGAGGGGAAGATCGTAAGCAGGGCCCGCGATCCCTTTATAAATATAAATAAATAAAAAGGTCTATCTATATAAGCCTAGACTACTTACTTATTACCCTTACTTAACTACTTAATAAGGTCCTTTTTTTATTTTATAATTTAATATTAATAATTTTTTATTTTTATAATAAAAAAGGGTAAAATAAGAGCTAGGTCCCCCGCTAGCGAGAACTAATAATAGAATTTATTATTAATCCCCTATTTAAAAATACTTAAAGCTATATACTAAAATTTTAATATAATTTCTATTATAATTATTTATATAAAAATTTTATTATCCCTTTTTTTTAATTATTTTTTAATTTTTTAATATATATAATTTATAGATCTAAATTTTTTAAAAATTATTAAATTTAATATAATTAAAAAAAAAGAGCTTTTTATTAATTTAATTACGTCCTAAATACGTATATTTTTTTTTAAGCTAAAGCTTAAGAAGTATATACGTTTACTAAATAACTTATTACTTATAATATATTACTATTTTAACTACGTATTACTTACCCTTTTATTTTAATTATAATAATTCTTTTATTAACGAATTACTTAAAGGACTTATTTAGTATACTTTTTATAAATCCGTTAGTTAGGTTATTATCGCTACTAATTTAACGGATTTTATAAAACTTACGGTATTTATATAATTATTAAAATATTATAATATTTATTATAAGGCGCTTTTTTTTCGTAGTACTTAGCTTAATAAGGTATTTATATAATAAATATAAATCTATATAGACTATAATAGGGATTTTTAGAACGTTAAGTTATTTAATAATAAGGTTTAGGGTAGTTAAAATAGTATAAGTAACGTTAATATTTATAATTATTCCGTAAACTTTTAATATTAATACGCTTTAAATAATCTTTTTATTTTTCGTAGAGCTATAGTAAATAATATTATTATTAATTATAAAGCTCTTATTAATTTATTTTTTATTTATAAGAATAATAAAATAACCTAATTATAAAATATAATTAGCGTTATTTATAAATAACCTATTTATAAAAATAAAGAATTTTATTATAATTAGATCTAATAATAAGAATATAAGCCCTTAGTTTAAGTAATCTATTTATTATTTAATATAATAATTTAATATAATATAATTAATAAATAACGGATCTACTTAATATTAAGTAATACACGACGTATTAAAAATTATTTTTAGTTAGTAAATTAATATAATATAAGTACCTTGAGCTCGCTATTTAATAAATTATTATTTAGTATTTAATACTAAGGGGTTAATTTACTTAAGCTTTTTCTCCTAGTTCTTCTATTTAAATACTATATTAATACTTTTTAATAAAATAATTCCGTTATTAAAAATAAGTAGCTTATTAGTTAATAATTACTATTTTAGTTTAGTTAGTAACTTAGCACGCTTAAGCTCAGTCTTTTTTTTTAACTAAAAGTCTTACTTAATAGTCTAATTATATTATTAGTTTATATTTTAATAATACTAAATAATCCGCTTTTTCTTATTAAAATTAGTAAGTATAAGTTAAACGTAAATATTATTATTTAAAGTATTTTTAAATAATATTTACTATATATTACTTATTAATAAGTACTAGATTTTATAAAACTATATAATAACTATATAATATATAAAATAGTACTTTTAGAGTATAAGTAATAGATCCGAGCTAGTAATTAAGTAAAAACCTTATAATAAAGAGGTTAGCTCGATTATATATATACTTAAATAATATTTTATAACTAGATAATATAACCTTTTTAAATTAGGGTCGGGGCTAGGGTAAGTATTAAATATTAACTAGTTTTTTAAATTATTAATAATTATATAAGGATCTCTTTTTTTCCCTCGTTATTATACTTTTATATAACTAGGTAAGACTTTTTAATAAAGTTAAGTCTTAGGTTCTTAATTTTATTAATAAATTAAAACTTAAATATTCTTATATTCCTATATTTAGGGCTAAGTTAGATAAATTTAATTATACCTCTTTTAATTAGTTTTAAAAGCTCCTTATTACTAAATGTTATAAAAAGTACTTTTAATATAATAATAATACCCTTATTATAAAGTTTAATAACTAGCTTAAGATTTATTTCTTTTTTAAATATAAAATAAATAATAATTATAAAAATATTACCACAGCCGTACTATATTAACGTTCTTTTAGTCCTCCTCCTCTATAATAAAAAGTCGTTATTAACTATTATAATAATCTTATTAAGGACTTTATTAATAATAGCGCTACTATTAGTTAGCTAGTTAATTATAAGGATTAGTAAGTAGTTAACGTACTCTATTATTATAGTTAATAACTTAGGGTTAACCTTTTTTAAATATTAAGGTTTAATTATAATGGTTTAGAAGCTTATTAAGCCGTAAAATAAGTTTATTATATAAATAGTACTACTTATTAAAACGAGCTTAAATAAGCCCTTTTATCCCTTACTTTCTTACTAAACTTTAATATTTAATTATAATAATAAATTAATACTATAGGAGATATTTAATTTATTTTAAGTAATTAATACCTTATTTACTTATTTATTAATATAAAGTTTACGGACTTCCCTTATTACTTTTTTAATCATTTTTATATATTAAGTAATATTTAGTAATAATAGAAATTCGTTAAAAATATATAAAAAAGCTCTAAAAATAAGGAGTATAAGAACGAGGCTATTTAAACTAACTATATTATTAACTATTTTAATTATAGCCTAAAGTATAGCCTTTACGCTTATTAATAAGTATTTATTTTAAATAATATTATATACCTTTTTAAGTATTACATAATATTTCTTAACCTTATTAATACTATTATAGGCTTCGATAAGTACTTCCTTAACTTTAATAAATATAAATTTAATAAAAAATTTAAATTTTATAGCGCTAAAGTTCTTACTAATATTTATAATAATCTAATTTAATAAACTAAAATAGACGTTAATTTAATATAGCTAAAGAGCTTTTTATATATATTTCGTAATTATATTTATAAAGAACTTTATTATTTAAAAAGAAGTAGTAATATTAACGACGTAAAGTACTAGTTAGTTAGTACCCTTATAATTTATTAAATATATTACGTTAATTATAATCTCGTAATTAAAATCGTAATTATTTTATAGGATAAATTTAAATTAACTAGGGATAATAATATTAAGTTAATATTATTAATAAATCTTTATAAGCTTTTTAAGGGCTACGATTTTTATATTATTACTTAATTACTAAAGTAGTTTTAGAAAATAAAAAACTAAAAAATAACTAAAATACTAATATAAGTAGCGCAGTTCGCCCTTTATTAAGTAATTAATAATAATTTTCTCGTTATTAAAAAGTAAAAACTAAGAATATCCCTATTTATAAATAATAAGTACTATAATATCTCCCTTAATTAGTAAGTTATTAATATTATTAAAGTATATTCTTAGCTTATTTATATCCTTTAAGTAGTATAAAAAAGAAATATTAGTTAATAAAATATAAAAAGTAATATTATTAAATAGGGTACTAATAATTATAAATCCTAATAACTTTATAAGTTCGCTATTACTAAATTAAATACTTACTTTACTAGTTTTAAAAATATTAAAAATTACTTCGGGTCGTTATTGCTATAATATAAGGAGTTAAGGGTAGCCCGTAGTTAAGAATTCTATAGTATTAATATTAAGTATAATACTTTAAAAATCCCTTAATAAATACCTCTTATTTAATAAAAAAAAGGTTACTAGTTCTGTAAGCTTAGTTAACTTATTAATAAAAGTAGTATTAATAAAGCTATACTCTATTACCTAAGTAGCGAGGATATTTATAAAAGTTTTATTATTAATAATAGTTATAAAGTATATTATTAAGATCTAAACTTCGTCTTTATAATTATCCTTATAATTAAAGTCGAGGTTATTAAAATATTAAATTATAATATTATTATTGTCGTCGTTATTAATAAGGGCAGTTCTTTTATAAAAAGTAAAGAATTATAAGTATAAGCTTAGTATAAATCTCTTATTTCTTTTTTTATTATTTTTATATTTCTAATATACTTAATATCGCTCTTTTTCTAAATACTTAGTTAATTAATAA